GCGCAGCCCTAATGCCATACTCTCTTATACAAAATGAGCTACAGAGTATGTGGTGAATGCGTGTTGGGTATTAGGTATATGTAACAGCGGCGCCGGGTAGCCTCGTGGTGCAAGTGTTCGCTCCTCCGCTTATAGGACCACGGTTCGATTCCCTACATGGGTGCAACGCGTGAAGCCAATTTAATTTGCCTCGATGGGATATTGCTAAATGCGGTGTAAACCCCTGCCAATTCACCCGTGTTACTTCTTTCAGCAGTACCGTACACGGTGAACGTTACAAATGCACATATATTTGTAACTACTCCCTTGAAATGCACTGATGCAGGCGAATGAGAGCTAATATGTGACAAATACACCGAGGTATGAGAACTCAACAGATTCACGGATAAACAGTAAGTAATATTCAAAATCGTGGTTGCGAATTAGAAAAGGTTTTTGACCCTTTAAGTTTGAAATATATTTTAAAAGATCACATAATCCAAGGCGAAAACGTGCATTACGAATGGTTCAAATTAGACTGGTATCTTTCTGATATATCTCTTCTGGTTCACACCTACCCATAACGTAAGTATATGCATATGGCGACACAAGCTGTACCTGCGCGATTTCTGGTTTACATGTTAACTTTATATATGATCAGGGATGCCTTCCTGGGGAGTCCTTCCTGAGTCCACAACTCATGTAAGTTATTTGTTTACCTGTTTCATAAATTGTCCAAGAGTAATATTTGTGAGTAGTTGTGTGGGACAAAACGTGTGCTGACTACATCCTATACCAGCTGACGCACAGCACCAAAGCTATACACTACCTTGCACACCATATCCCACACACAGATATATATCGTAATATATGCCGTAAAAGGCGACTATGCTTGTCGTATAAGAGGCGACTAACAGGATCGGGTGGTCAGGCTCAGCCCATTCGGGCTGATCGATGCTCATGCTATCAACCACTGGTCCAGGCTCGTTTATTTACAGACCGCCGTCATATAGATGGAATATTGGTGCGTGCGGCGTTAAACAACAAACAAACAAACATATGTGCCTAGACCTCATTTTGATCAATGCCAAAATACACCTATACCTGATCTGTGTTCATAAAGTACTGGCTGACGTCATATGGTACTAAAATAACTATTGCCATGGAAACTAATAAGCATATAAATAGATAATCAATTTTGGTTCCTTTATTTCAATGCTAATATACTGAACAAAATAAGTAAGGGATCATGAATATTTTTTGGGATATTTTGATGAAATGTGTGTGCTCAGTCTTCACTAAAAAACATCACCCAAAATATTAATGATGCCTAAATTATTATGTTCAGTATATGTCACATTGTCTAGAAAACAAACGTGCTTCGACTGGAAAAGTAATACATGATATACGAATTAAAAATGTTACAAATTACAGTTTTATAATGACAGAACATTGTATGATCATTGTGATTGCGAATACATTTATTTGGGATTTGATTGTTACAGTAACTGGGAACATGTTCCAAGTGATGAATCATTATACAAGTATATGAGTTGAGGGTTTAACAGACAGTATGGCTCTCTGCCACACACGGACAGGTCGCCGTTCACCATCAGCTCCTTGCAGCCCAACACGCCGGCGCGACGAATGACGTCAGTGTCGCGATGTAATTAAAGCGCCGATCACGTTCATGCCGCGGTGATCGGCGTCCCATCGATTACAGGTAAACTCGCATCAACAGCGAGGTGAAATTACCTTGATTACTATGGATGCAGGTATCAACATGTCGGATAAGATTTCACCTTTCAGACCCGTTCACTCCTGACAGGTGTAAATTATCTGCTATTGCACGGACTTGCCCTGTATCGCATCTGGATGTTTATTGAGTGTCAAGCAGAGGGAGGCTGAGACCGTTATTGGGGGATTTACGCCGTACACTCATCCCTGAGGTATTTTTGTCCCCACCCTCGCTGTTTAATGGTGGCCGTGCAAATACAACCGAAACAATCGCTTGATGATCAGTACGCTTGTGAACGAACCACCATCATTTATAGACTGACGATGCTGGTGACAATGGCATTGGTATTATAGAACATTGCTTGGGCATTGTGATTGTGAATAACGCATTAGAGTCCACGACATTAGACCATGGCTTTGATTAGCACATAAGAATGACACGCAATCGATAACCAGTGTTATCTCCGGCCGTCTGTGGCCAATGCGCTAACTATTTTGAGTGTTTATTTCCGAAGAATTGTGTAACGCAATGGATTTAGAACACCCTTACAGCATAATAAAAATTCAACAGCCGTCTAGCTCCCTTTGAGCCCAAAGATAATTTACCACATAAAATAGCATTTCTTGTTTTTTATGAATGTCAACGTTCTTTGCTGCCCCAAATGCCTAGTCAAACAAATGTCTATGAGTACTATTTTGGTGAACGCACAAAAACTAACCAAGCGCAAAAGAATATATTTTATACGCTTCCTGTTACATTAATTAAAGCACCAAGTATCTTTTTTCACAACATAATGAAAAGAAACAGTCTACAAAGTGAACGATTAAAAAAAAATGACAAACCAGGTGAGTATATTTTGAGCAGAGAACAAACAAGCACGCCCTGTCCTACAAGGAAGTTTTGCTTGTTTGTTGTTTAACGCCACACTCTGCAATATTCCAGCTATATGACGGCGGTCTGTAAATAATCGAGTCTGGACCAGACAATACAGTGATTGACATCATGAGCATTGATCCACGCAATTGGGATACGATAACATGCTTCAACCAAGTCCCGATTCCGTTAGTCGCCTCTTACGACGAGTATAGTCGCCTTTTTACAGCAAGCATGGGTTGCTGAAGACAAATTCTATCCCGGATCTTCACGGGTCCCTGCAAGGAAGTCCATCCATTACTACATTTTGTTTTTTAAGGCCACTGGCCGTATACGTCGGTCTGTAAATAATAAAATCTTGACCAGAAAACACAGTGACTGATATTTTTAGCAAAGTCACACGTTGTTGGGCAACGATATGACACGCATCCTCGTCAGGAATCTGACCATCCGATCCATCAAGATGCTGGGTAACTATACAAGTATTTTATATCTCTTGTAGGGTATTCAAAGTGACTTGTGGAATTCTTACTATTCAGATATTGATGAATGCATGCAGGGTGACGCATTGCTCTACATGATGGTTAACAAAGCAGAGTGTCAATGTGGTACAGTTCTGCTTACCTTTTCCCCTAAAGTATAATGTATTTTTCGCTAATGTCAAGTCTTACTGAGAACAACTGCAACATGATCTTGTGTTGCGGTTTCATCTTAAAACGACATGGACAAATTCAGTGTAACTCCCGTTTTGGTTATATACCAATTCTGAGTCGCCATTCGTTTTGTCCAATTGTCAGCCCAATAAGTTTCACACGTGTCAAGGCCACCAAGTATTACCCTTGTACTGCTACATCGATAGCTTGCTCACCATACCATATATAACAAAATACACTACAAGTATTTCGGCGTCAAATGATAGAATGTCTTCTTGATACAAGTATTTGGATAAAGAAAACAGGGTTACATTCGTAAAGAAATCTTCACGTCTTATTTCCATGTGATTGTCGTGAGTGATGCAGATCTCAGACGTTTACCTCTTTGATGAAACCCATGAGCACGGATATGGTGCTGGCAAACCTAGAAACATAATCGGGGCTAACCGGGATTCGAACCCACAATCATATATGTTTCTGGCGTGCCGGAGGGACCAACTCTGCACAATGCCTTATTCGACCACTGGCCCACCCGTGCTTCTCATGTTATTGTAAGACGATACCAATCAATGACAGAAAAATGGACTAGTATACAATAATTCAAGTGTTATCCTCTGTCACATTAGTATGAAAAAAATGTTAGTTTCCAGAGTCTGGTATTTATTGCCTGTCTAGCCATAAAAGCTGTGCCATGAAACTTGATTTGTTATTTTTATCAGGATAATAAGTTAGTTACATCGAATGAGCTCATGCGATTTGAGAGAAGTGCTGTTTGAGTATGATTCCTTTGGAATCACCAGGGATTGGATCGGATAGTTACGATGAGTGGCCAGATTGCATCAACTTGCCCCGTCAACGTGCTATTGCACCTCACGCAGTCAACCAGTGGTCATTCGTGATTATTGTCCTGTTAGACATAGTTCTCTTAAGTCAGTTATGTTTTAGGTCTAAGTCCTTTTGGGCAAGTCAGTAATATTAACTGCATTAAGGAAGTGTTTCTTTGATATCATTTAATCTTTCTCGCGTCATTCGTTCATATATTTTGGCTGCGAATAATGAAAACATCTTTCTTTTGAACAAGTCATGAATGTTCACTGCACTTGAGCAGATTTGCTACATATATTTATTGTGTGCTAGTCATAATTAAGTCCACTGACATGTTTGCAGTTTTGATTGACATCCTTTTTTGTGGATATGTATTTTTGTGGCTGTGAAACTTTTTGTGTGTGCAAGTCATTCGTGTTTTATGCACTTCAGACGATTACTAGATATCCTTCTTTTGTTTAAGGCAGTCAGTGTTTTATGTCTGTAAAATTTTGCTTGACATCTTTCTTTGTGTCAGTCATGTTTGTTGCATTTTTGTAGTTCTGCAAGCTTTCTTTTGACATGTTCCAACCGCACCTCAATTCCTCCATATTGTTTTCATTCCTCCTCAGTGTGAAGCTGAATAGTTTCCAGTGTTACATCTATTACTTCTGATGGCACTGACTACTCACAATGTGTTGTCAGGGAAACGCATTCTGTAAGATGTGACAGGTTATATAATTAGGTTGTTACTGAGACTGTTCTTTTGCATGTCTAGTGCAAGTCATGAAACAAACACACATTTGAAAGAAGTCATGGACCACCCGATTCTTTGATATTACTATTACAAATCTGTGATGGTATGACAGATAAACTATTGTAATTTGAAAAAAATCGGGTGTTCTGTAACTTCTGAAAAAGAAGTTCCTTGCTTTAAAATGACAACACTGAGGGATGTTTTAATAATTTGCTTTAATAAATTATCAGGATTGAAATCAAGCAACTGTACAGAAACTGACACTTGCTGCATGAACACTGCCTCAAATGATACAAGCTGGATCTCACACGCAAGAGACAGACAGCATACACATAGTGAATCCAAACCAAACTGCAGACAAGTGAGTTCATATAATGTGTTTTAACTTGTACAATGGCATCAATAATATATCAGGAATAAATTTCATATTCACTTACTTCACAAATCTTTGTATTACATACAATAATCAATTTTAATATCTACCTGTCTGAAAGGGGTAATTAAAATATCAAAATTGATTTGTAAACAGAAAGAATGTCAGTTTGAAGTGTATGAAGTCAACTTTAGATAGACATGTGGGAAACTCACAATAATTCTTGGTCAATGTCCAGTCTTGTACTCACTACAGGACAACCTTTAATACATGATTCCAAATACACCATTACCTTGCAAACAAATACAAATCTAATGTCATCAAATAATAAATAAATGAATGATTGAAGTACCCCAAGGAGCTACATCCTAATTCCTTGTGAGTTTTCCTTATGTCCATTACATTAAATTAGCATGTTTTGATTGTACTGGATCAAGCAGTCTCTGCCATAGGAAGGGAGGATTCAGTCTACATTCAGCCTATCACTCACATCCATAAACCTGTATACCAGTCCATCTTTTGCTGTAGGTACCTACGTCAAACACATGGTGTAAATATAGTATGTATAAGGGCAGCATCTCTCTAATTCCACATCCTCATAGAGAGAACTTATAGTATCACACAACATAGCACTTCAATGTCAGTTACAGCTGGTTTCAATGTTGAAATATTCAGATTAATGTAGGGCTTGGTACCCATGAAAGGTGTTCACTTCTGTGGTAGAATAAATAGTTTTGTTTTTTTATACAAGTACTTATATTTCCTTATTACCAATGCCCAATAACATGGCAGTTGTGACTGAGTCAACTGTGAGGGAATCAGTGGGTTGTCCGAAGGGTCAGCATGATAGGACAGCAAGGGCAGCTAACACAGGGAGGGTCACAGAATATTTGGTTTTTGTAAGAAATCCTTGTAGTATCGCAGCCTGACAGCCAGTATTGTGGTAAACATGTACGAGATATCCAGAAACAGGTATGTGTACAATATCTAAGCAGGCTAACTGATCCATGGTGCAAGTCATACTATTGTCGCTGATCAGGACAACAGTAGTTGATGTGGTAGTAAAAGCTTACAGGAAAATCAGACAATTGCACATATTCCAATCTGAACTTGTGTTGGACGTATTGTCAGTCCATGTCGCAAGTGCAGAAACTGTTGCTATTTACATGTCCTTGTAGAACAGGTCTGAAGGGGGACCTCAGTATACTCAAAGCAACTAGGGCCACTCTTAACATATCAGATTATGAGAGAATGCTGCTGAACAAAGACGACACAGAAACTGGGCATGGTCCTACTAGTATCCCGCCTGCCAATCAGCCCACTCACCCCAAGTGCAAGCTCCTTACATCTTCACATCATTAACACAGGAAGGACGAAATGTAACCAGGCAGCAGTGCTGCAACAAGGATCTCCTGAATTATATCAACATAAACATCTGACAGAAAACAAAGTTTTAACAATATAAAGTTAGATCACAGTCCTGCTGCTATGGCTAGGTCGTTGTGACCTAGTTTACCAGGTCAATATGACCTGCTCTCATTCGTTCAACCAATATTGGCATCATCCTACCTGATACAATTTAATATTGCAAGTTAGTTGTATGGAAACTGAGGGTACCCATGCAGCTGATCGCAAATCAACACAACTGTTACCTTGCTTAATTAATCACAGAAGCATGTTATCGAAGAGCATGATACATAAAAAGACACTGAAAGCACTTAATTGAACTGCTAATTTTAAGTTAAAAATTGAAAATATTTCTGTTATTTAAGAATTTGGCTATAGAACATGAAGACGAATATACAGTTCAATTTAAATACCAAGGCAACATAAGCTGATCAAGATATTTGAAGGGTTTCTATCCAGAGAGAATATACCATGTCAGGCTCTTTTTCAGTCGAAACAGGGAAAAAGAGGTTATGCATGTCTCACATAAGTTACTACATGCACCGAAAAACATGTATTCTTTTTGGGATGGAAAGTACAAATAAATTCCTTTTGATGACTAAGAAACTCTGCTCAAAAGAAAGACTTACCAAAAATACGATTTTTCGAGCAAAGGGATAATATGTCTATGAATTTTATAAGCAAAGCAAACTATTTCATTGTTAATGTTTCTTGCTTAAACAAAACAATAATTAAAAACATGACTTTTTGCGAGCAAAGAAAGTCATATATTATGAATTTGATAAGTAAGCAAAGCTAATTGCTTCAACATTTACTTTGGTTGTAGTGTCAAGACAATATCCCTAGTGATTGTTGAACAGAAGCATCACAGCAAGCATCAATTCTGTAGCACAGCTGTGATGTAGAAACCCATCTAACTGAGGACCTTAGATCCACACACCTGTCCTGCATAAAGTGATATAGCTTTCAACACAAGCTTGATTCATACTTTCTAAAACAGGCTACAACCATAATGAAAACTTCCTAATTATTAGTGGTTAATGAGTTACGTTACTTCAATGTGTAGATGCAGATCTCTCAACCTAGCTGAGATGTGGGTATAAGACATATATGTTGAATATATCGATGTCTGACCAAGGTACACAAGCAGCAAGCTCTACGACAATCACCACGACGTTGTTGCACACAATGAAATCAATGATGATAGTGAAGTCCCACAACATAGGAAGTGGCAGCTGGGTGGTTCTGGGTAAGGAACAGCGGCAGTGACAGCCAGTGATGAACCATCTTCCATGTTGTTGACGATGGCTCCACCTGGAGGGCTGTCCATCTGTTGTTCATCCATCTATTCATCCATCTGTCTGTCTGGGTATTATGCTGTTATCAAACTACCCACACAGTACTGCGAGCGGGAAGATTCCTCAATGAAAGACACAAATAACGTAGTCAGCCCAACTTCAAGATACACAGTAGTATAATGCATGAAGACACTACTGATTACTTCAATTCCCGGCAATATGCCCTCACTCCATCACCGGCTGCCCAAGGTTTGTTAAGCCACATATACATATCTGGCAATAATTCATCAATAAGACAGCGTGATCAGTGTGTTTCTCTTGTCAGCCAGGGCTGCTGACATCAAGTCTTCTTGCAGCCAGCAGCCTCAGCTTTGCATCAACAGTTGGGTTGAAGGACTGTACAAATATATATAAACACATGATAAAGTCTAACCAGGCAAGCTGCTCATCAAAACAGCTGGCCAGGTAAATGTTCTGTACTAGCTGTCCTCCCTCGCATCCTCAAGTCACCCACAGACCGCCTACTTTCCTGGAAGTACAATTGAGCAAATATTACATGTCATTTTTCCAACACCAACCCTTGACACATTTACAAAAGATCCTGTTTGTCTGTTGCTTAATGCAGCACTCAGCAATATTCCAGCTACATGCTGTCTACAAATAATCGAGTCTGGACCAGACAATCAAGTGATTGACATCATGAGCATCGATCCACGCAATTGGGATATGATGACATGCATCAACCAAGTCAGCGAACTTGACCACCGGATCCTGTTTGTCACCTCTTACGACAAGCATAGTTGCCTTTTACCGCAAGCACGGGTTGCTGAAGATCTATTCTACCCTGGATCTTCACGGGTCTGAAAGATCCTGATAAACCTGCTCATGATAACATACTTGAGAAGCATAATAATGAATCATGTGCTTTAACATTTCACACTATCTTTGTCAGTGTTAGTTTCAGGTTAGTACAGAATTAAAAGTTTCAGGAAAAGACATACATTGAAATAGAAGTAGATGTACTACCTCCAGTGATAAATCTGATAAAATGATTTATCTGTGTAAAGCAGTATTGTACTCACATGTAACTTGTCATCATTACTGCTGATTAAATTGAGAACTGACATGGAGCTTGCTCTTTTCATACTGCAAAAAGACAGAAATCTGCATGAACAGGGAGGTGTGACCAGCTGGACTGAATGCTTACCTTCATCTCCTTCAGCTACAACCCCTCTCCACAAAATAAGGGAGAGGGGGGAGATTTGTTGCAGACACTGCGGGCAGAGAGCATTAAAGCCATTTTCAGGTCTTGGTGTGACAATGTTAAATGCCCTACATGGAACAGTAACCTATATCTTGTACTGTCAACATTCTTACTCCACATATTTCGCTTCCCCTCAGTACTCTGTAGTTTCATCTTTCACACACAAACCTGACAAGTGCTTGGAATCCTTCAGGTTCACAAAATGCATCAACAAAATTTGACTCCATGGTCATTATTGTGTATTACAGGCCTAGACTGGACTGACCAGTGATCACCACTGATCTACTTCATCAGGATTCACCAACGCCCATCAAGAGAGAAGTTGAAATTTGGTCGTCCCTGGACAACAGGGACATCACAGTTTTAGTTGCCTCTTAAGACAAGTACTGGATACATAGAAACCAGAATGCTAAGATGAGGTTGACATTGATGCAAGACACAATATAGGATGGAATAATCCTCTGTTAAATTGAATCACAATGACAGAAATACAGTCCCCTGCATGGGTGTAGGGTAGTGTTACTACAGCTATGATTTACTATATATTTAACAACTCTACATAATTAAACATGTGTAAAAACTTGCATAAATTTCCATTTGAACAGGAAGAATTACATTCTTTCCAATGACAGCAAATAAAAGAACAGTTGTAAATCACACAAAGATTGGCCTATTCAAAGTTAAGACCTTTAAAGCAGTGATTACATGAATCGATTAAGAATGCCTTTTCACATTCCTACTTAATCTGAAATGCTATTGTGAGTCTTAATGTTAGTCTAGCTTAAAGCAAAAAAATAATGTAAGAACAGAATGACAATCTTGTATATGGGGGCATGGTCATGGTGGCATCATGGGAGTGGTAGGACAGGGTTCCGTATTCAGGGTACTTCAGGTCATGTGCACAGTAAAAGCCTCCTTCCTGTAGATGTGTATGTATAGTGAGGAAAAACGGGGGAATGAATTTAGATAAAAAAAAAGCATTTTTGTTTGATATCAACCCTGAAAGAAATACTTGCCAATGCCTCAAATCTCAAGCATCCAAAAGCTATGTGATGAGAGTCTTAATGTAAAATGTATTTGATGGTTGATGATATCTGTATGAAGCATCACCATGCTATGACTAAGGTAAAACAGTATTATTACAGCATGAACTAGTAATGAGAAGCCCTTGAGAAATGAATGAATGTTGCAAACCACGCAAAGCTGGCTGATGAATGAGCAGGGAATTGTACATCGGATGATTCACGCTGGATATGTTACACAATGAACAAACACAACACAAACACACACAAACAATTCATAGTAGTCATGATAAGTCTTAAAATTAAATTATCCTCATTTCAAAATCTTACTTCTCCAGGTGTATCATATGGCAATGGAGGAACTTTAATATTAATTCTTCTTTTACCTCCTTTGAAATAAGCCCTTATGAGTTGTGCAAATCATCTTGATTTGAGTCACTTGAAATCAGTTCCTTTGTTAAATGTTTGATGGATGCGAAAACATGGGGCTGCAGTAATGAACAAAAAGCTAGGATGTGCTGTGGATGGGCGAGATGAAATGGCAAATAAAAAACGAAAGAAACATCATACGTGTTTACTCTCTCGTTGGCATACCATCCCCGCACATACCAGTTGAGGCTGAGACAGAACAGTGCAAAATCAATTTGGAACTGATCCCTTGAACCAGTTTAAACAGCAAAGAAAAACACTGAATATGACAAGATGAAATGACACTATTAAAACACGTATAGATATCTGAAGTAGCATCCTATGTTGACTGCTTTCAATGAATAAAACCCTTTAATGTAGCATTGTACAGCTAGCTTCTAGTTGCGACACATCCGTAGACAGCAAGACATTTCACACCGACATTGACAGAGCACAGAACTGATTATGTGTTTGTGAGAGCCTTATCTGTACTTGTGTCATGTAGATGTAAGGCAAGGCTAGAGACATGTTGTGTTGCCATGACAACTGGCAAATGGATGTACCAGGGTGCTTACCTGCCAGAATTTTCGTCACCAGGCGCCTTCCCCTTCAACTTCTGCACCAGTTTAGCACTGCTACGTTTAATGGAAGCACGCAGTTTAGAGAACGATCCACTGCGCTTTAACTTTCCCGTCTGATGGAGGAGGAGTTAATTAAGATGGGGTGAATGTGTTGGTTAGATCATGTATGTATAAGGTTGGAGCTGGCTGGGGCAGCAGGCTCCACACAGTGCCTGACGACTCAGTGACAACAAGCTAAGCCAATGTTAACCGAAAACATGCACTGTCGGGGTTAGTGAACACTCGTGGAGTCAAGTCCATGGAATGGCTTGAGTAAGTCATGTGCACAAACAAGGTGTGGTCTACCAATTTTCTCGTGTTAACTTACTTTATGAAATCATAAGAAAGCCTTGCCAAAACTGATGTATTTCAAGTGGGTCGAAGTGGAATAAAAAACAAATCATTTGTTCCATGGCTCATTTCCAAACACTCAGTTACATCAAGTAGAAACAACAAAATGCTCAAAGAACTGTCCTGAATAACAATACAGAGGCAACTATTATTCAATATACGCAAGTTATGCTTATGATTGCTTATAGGATAGCTTTAATGTAGAATACTGCTTCATGGAAGAAAATAAGTGGTTCATTCTTTTTTGCACAACTTCAGATAAAGAAGCAATGTTATATTTTTCAACTTATCTCGAAGACTTCCACATTTGACACTGCATATACTCAAGATCCTTCAGATAACTGTCAAAGAAATAGTAACTGTACATCAGCACATATGCCTGTTCACTTAAACCTGAATTCCTGGTTTGAAGTCCTGAGTGCTTGGACAAGAGTGATGTTTTCACTGAGCCTTCAGGCACATGCAGGCACAGAACTCAAGAAAGAAATACTAGGAACAAAATACATGAATACTGTGTTGGCATGCAAATATAGGACAGCCAGAATGAACTAAAGGATGTAGTGATACTGAAATACATGCCAGGACAAACGCCAGCAGGTATTTGACTTTAACACTTTAAATTACCAGCACAATGAAATTTACATCTGTAAATCACCAAATTACTGGGATTTTACTACAAGTTAATAAGAGTGACAGTTAATCTACGCCTACCACCTGTCTGATGGTGAGGATAATATAAGTCGGGTCTACTACGCAACAAGTGCCATGCAGCGGCAGTTGCAGCAATCACCTCGGACACAGAACAAAGGTGGTATGAGTACCCATTGTTGACTCAGTGTGCCAGCTAATAGGACATACAAGGGGTTTATGATGAGGGGGGTTGCGTAATCATTTTTACCCTTACAGGCAAACAAGCTCAAGCTTCTTCAGAAAGGAAAAGAATTTCAAGTGACTGACTGTATCAAAGCTACGATAGTAACAGATCATTAAATGAACATGCTGATACCAAAGACAAGAAGACTGCTTTGATAAGAAATGTGCTCAGTTATCAGCGAGATAACAATTGTTAATCACATGTTTCACAAAATATATATTCTTAACAGCAAGATTCAATGAAGAGCAAAGATTCTTTTCAGTTATTTGCTAGTAAAAGCAGACACGCCAATTCCAGAAGACAATTTTGAACTGTTAGGTAAAATCAAACACCGTGGGTGTGCATTAGAGAAAACCTAAGTATGTGGGAAAGCGTGGAAAAACAGGTAAACGAAACAGAAACACAAATCTGACAGGCCCTATCTTGTTGGATAACTAGCAGCCACTGAGAAAACATGCACCGGCAGAAAACCTTCCAACTCAACAGCCCGTCACAAACTCAGTGTGCATTAACTGCCAGATCAAGGGATTTTCCTGGACATTTTCGTTGTTCCAGCATCCAGCCAATATTTATTAGGGTATAGAAAAGTGGTACAAATGAAACATGGATAAAAGGAAAAGTTCCTAAATATTTCAAAACTTAACACCATTTAACGTTCATGCAAGGCAACAAAATACAACCGGCAGAAGTCTAAAGAGAAATGTTTATCATGCAAACTTTTCACTGGTCTTTCTGACATGATCTGACTAGTTGGAGACGATGTGCATTGCACATGCTGTGAACAGTGGGCCAAGGGAAACAATCACATCTCTCACTACCTTGTATCTCGATCATAATGCCTGTCTAGAGAGAAATTCAAGGGTTTTCTGCATCTGGCTGGTCATTTAAGCCTTTCATTCACTAAAAGGTAAGTCCGAAACATACAAATAAGCTTGCACAACTAGCACAAAGAAGCCTGGGCTTGAGTTGTGGGTCGGAGTTGTCTGAGTGCTAGGTGGGACGTTTCACTGATACTGGTGGCTGATGTTGTGTTGGAAAGTTTTGCTGGCGGCGTAGGTACTCATACTCACCCAGCCCTGGTCTGTGAGGGCCGCAGAGTCGCCCGACCACTGCATTTTGATACTCACTTCGTCACCAATGTCAGTTTTCTCGTAGGCTACACTATCCATAGAGTCTCGCCGGAGGTTCTCTCTGCTCATCGAGCGCTTTCGCTCTTTGGGAGACTGCTCTTTATGATATTCACTGCTTAACACATCCGCTATTTTCGTGGTTTTGACTACGTCCAGACCCTAGCAGAAAACCAAAAAGTTGACATGTTGGGGGGTAGTTTGTACCTATGACCCAGGCAAAGTGGTGAAGGGCTGGCCACACAACACTGGTATTGTCACGTCAGATAGAAAATGTCCCTAAAAAGAGCTAATAAAACCCAACTTACGAAGGATGCATAAATTGTGGAACACATGAGGTGAACATAGCCCCATATCCGGAGTGTGAGAATGTGAGTGGGTGGTGGCCAGGCCTGCACCAGGGATGATGGGTAGGGCAGGAAGGAGTGAGGGTCCAAACATAATACAATGGGGTGAAGAAGTGGAATAATCATGTGGCAAACAGAATTAGTAAATGAAAACTAAAGAAAACCAAAATGCTACAAAGCAAGCATTTAGCACCGCCACCAGTATACTTCCGTGGAGAAACAGCAGCAGTGTGTGTGTGTTGTATCTGTGTGTGTCTAGCCTTGCCTTGCCTTGTTGTTGGAGTGTTGACTCACCTTCCCCGGGTACATACAGAGCTATATACTTGCTGGTGAGCGAGGAGGGACAGACAGAGTTAGATAACAGCTGACATCTCACACAATACACCATATAGACACACCATGTATCATACGCCTCTACAGCAAATACTATCAACTCTCTGAAACAAACATCTGGTTTATCATCATAACTTATAAACTTTGTGCAGTATTATCTTCACGGTGAAAAATTGGAGCTTTCAGCAAGGAAGGAAGGAAAGAAAGAAAGTTATTAAAGGCACATCAGCACTTTTTCAGCTATTCACAGTGACTGATTGTTTGAAAATACCCAAAGTAGTAAAACAACAAACTCAGATAAACAACACTGTACACCTTATGCATTTATTTAAAGCAGAACTGATGATACATCTATGATAAAGATTGGTGTCCATGTATTTGGTGTAGAACTTGAGACTCCATTACGACACAACATTAGTTGACAGAAGATGAGAATGACGATACACAGCTACAAGTATGGAACCATCAACCAATGTGAAGTTTGAACCCAGCCTTGATATGAGAGGAAGCTGGAACCTATACCAAGGGTTACATGCTGTGACACTGTGGGACGAGATATGTTGTTCAGTGATATTGGAGTGTGTGCATACAAGTGTCATCACCGACGTGAAAGTCCCACAGCTAATGTTATATGTGCAAATATGTTGACCATTATTGAGGATCTATTTCACAGTTGCTAAATATTGCCAAGATAAGAGAATAAGTGCAGAAACCTCAGAACATAATGAGGATACAGTGTTGAATGACTTGTGCACATGGGTCTGTAGGATAAATCCTGGGCTATCTCTGTGGCAGTAGGAACTAACATGTTAAATCTTGGGGTATTCAGCCATGAAACTAGAAGTATTTAAGCTACAAAGATGATGAATGGAGGGACTACATGTTGAATGATGAATGAAAGTGTATTGATGAAATTGATGATCATCCGTATGTACTTCTGTAATGAGATTGGCTGACACGTGACATCGATTCAGTGTTTCTTGTGAGTGTCTCTCAGTGCGGCCGTTGACGGACGGACTAACGACCTCCACTGCTGAAGTTCTGTGATATAATTGCTGTCATCCGCTGTTTGACAGCCACAACTAGGTAGGGCTGCAGATCTTACCCACAAATAGCTGGCTTTGTCAGGCTTTCTTTACATTAACAGAAACAGTAGGAGCCTTTCACAACAGTCTCTTGCGAATAGGCACTTGATCCCCCAAACAGCATTTTGTAGCCATTTGCATTATATGGTCAACTCCGTGATGAGAGAGTTGATCTGCAGCGCCCCCTGGTTGGAAGCAGAGAGATGCTCTACTAGACTCTGTACACACCTACAATAATTGTACGCATGTACAGATAACAACAATAAAAAGACAACACCTACACTTACATTCTTTTTGGACCTCATGGCACACTCCTCCAGAGTCTCGGCAGCCTCGTACTTGCCCTGTCGCCGGTACAGCGCACCGAGGTTCTTCAGGGTTGTTGTAACTGTCGGGCTGAGGGAGAGAAGACGGGGAGGAGGTGAGCAACTCCTCAAAGCATCACATCAAATTTCCAGATTCCTCATCTTACAAGTATGTCTTGATTTCATTGTTGATTTTTTTAAAGCTAATCTCTGTTGGGCATTTAGACATGGATATGAAATGAATTGTTTGATAGGCATTACATAGAAGTTGATTGGAGAACAAAGTAGACACAATCATTGCTTGACGACGGTATAAGGATCTATACTAAAACATTGCCTTTACAGTAAATAAAGAAGTTGTTGACTTTGTCATGGATATGTTATAAATGACAAGATATGGACGATCAATTTCTTTCTTGCAATTGTAGCAATGTTTTGATGTAGACTCTATAGTATCTGTCATTATTATTTTAAACATCATGCTCAAATGATACAATTATATCCTGATTTTTGTAACATTCTGTTTCTAATATTAGCAGTATTACCTATCAACTTTAGCAGCCTTGTGCCAACTGCCATACTCTGGAAGTGGGGATCCATCCTTGTATTTTCCCTGTGACAACAGACAAAAAGAGTTTAGTATACAGGAAGTAAACAGTCCAGTATAATTGTTTTGCAAATGAAGCATGCAACAGTAAACATATGTAGCCACAATGATATGTCATCATGTATAACATGTGGATACACTTCAGTGAACAAACAGCGACATGGACTCACTTTGTTTTCTTCTCGCTCTTCTGCCCTCATCCAGATGGGCTTGTTCTCTCCTACAATACAAGTCACAAGTGGTTAATGCCTACATCTGAACATGTACCATCCATTCTTCATCTACTCACAGTCATAGCAATACATTGGAATACTTCCACATCTTCTGTTAATTGCACTTCAAGTTATGAAAATATGCACACTAAGTGAGAGTGAGTATGGTTTTACACCGCTTTTACAAATATTCCAGCAATATCATTGTGAAGTTACAAGAAATGGGAATCAAACATTGTACCCATCTGGGGTATCGAACCCAGATCTTTGGCACGACGAGCAAAGGCTTTAACCACTAGACTACCCTACCGCCCCTTCATATCAAATGAATATAACATATTACATATTAAATGCTTCTTTCTTAACACAGAGAGCTAGTTATGTTGACAGTGTTTGAAATTAAGGGGTCAAGCTTGAGGTTTACTGCTATAATATTCGATTCCAAGGACCCTAAATGTTTGATTTCACAAATTTGGGTTATGACCAAGGCCCCACTCACTACCACTCTTAACGTTGACAGTGAAATAGAGTGAGTTAGTATGGTTTTACGCCGCTTTTAGCAATATTCTAGCAATATCACGGCGGGGGACACCAGAAATGGGCTTCACACATTGTACCCATGTCGGGAATCGAACCCTGGTCTTCAGCGTGACGAGTGAACGCTTTAACCACTAGGCTATCACTACAATGAAATAGAAGTGAACACATATGCAGCTTGCCCGAGTCGTACCTTCCACCTTGCCGAACTCCTTCTCGTGTGCGCGGGTGAGGACCTCCTTGTACAGAACCTCGGCCTGCTTGTACTTGCCCTGCTTCAGGTATGCAGAGGCCTACAAGAAGAGGGGTCAGGGTCAGGCATAGACCTTCACACAACACAACACAACATACATGCAATATAGGTAACCCATACTTTGGCTGAGAAATATGTACAGTTGGTGTTCAGGCAATGACTTGATGGGGTGGCTTATTTTCTTCTTAGTGGAAGATGTACTTTCTGAGACAAGATTTTTTCTCTGTTTTACTTGTGTAGGAGAAAAATGCTTTAATTACTAAATCTGATTGAATGCATATTATACAAGTGAGAAAAAGGACTAAACAGTACCATACTCTGTGTATCATACTATGTTCAAGAATATATCTATAAATCTTAACTATATTAATGGTGTTAATAACGGAACATAAACATGAAAAGATGCAAAACATTTCAAATCGTGTTAATATAACGGTGTATACAAGGACATCTGTGAAGATTGCACAGAGTTAAAGTTCAACAACAGGTTGAACAAAGCAGGAACAGATTACAGGAATGAAAGAGTAATATATAGATAAGTCACACACATATTAGGTGCAGTAACTATATGTAAGCTCAAACAATATTCTAGTATCCAGTACACGATGCTTGCAATTTCCTTCAAGTCAGACCTTAGTGCTTGTTACCGTCACACAATCTCATTAAAATCAGATCTGAGTGCTAGCTACCCTTACTGTTTAGCGGTAGCAAGCACTAAGACCTGATTTAATGAGACTGAAGATGCTAGTGATGCTGATACCTATGTAATGTTATTACGTCTAATCTGAAGTAAGGCAATAAGATGTCATGATAGTTATTACTTTGTAACTTGTTAGTGTGACTTCTCTTCAACTACATGCAATAGGCAATTTTGATGCTGAACAATTCAGTAGTAATCACTGTGCATTCAATACGTATGGAAGATATCATCTGGCATCAAAAAGGATTCACCAAGAGAGCCCAGCAAATCAATGCAACTATGGGCTGTACAACCCTCAACCTACTCATGGTCACTGTAGTGCCCACAGATATTCAACTCCCCTCATGATCTACTGACACTGAAAGAACATACTTAACAACTGTCAAAACGTCCTGGAGAACAACCTTTTGTTTGTTGTTTGTTTGTGTGTTGTTTAACAATGCACTCAGCAATATTCCAGCTATATGCAGCGATCTGTAAATAATCAAGTCTGGACCAGACAATCCAGTGATTGATATCATGAGCATCGATCCACATAATTGGGATATGATGACATGCATCAACCAAGTCAGTGAGCCTGATGACCTGATCTTGTTAGTTGCCTCTTACGACAAGCATAATCACTTTTAACGGCAAGTAGGGGTTGCTGATGACCTATTCTACCCTGGATCTTCACGGGATAACAACCTAAAGGGTTACAGTGAAGATGAACAAAACAATTAAGCTTAGAGAAATCACCAGATCTGATTTTTCTTTCAAGCAATTCACTAAATCTCACAAAACTTGAATGTAATCACTTCAAACATTGCAGTTCCAAATATTAGTCACAGTGAAATCATGATTCTTGCAAAAGGTGCATTTGTTAATTTGGAACAAGCAATCAAATCTTGTGTAACATGTTATTCAATTGCATATTACTGGTTACAAATGCAAGCAGTCGACAGTCAGGGGCAGATAACTCTGTCTCCCAGTCAAAGACATGCATGTTATCGTGCAGGCAGGTACAAAGGCAGCAGGCAACTCTACTGCACGAGTGACCGCCTTACCAAGTTGTTTTGTGTTTTTATCACGTTGGGATCATCATTTCCTAAGCGTTTCTTGTATATTTCTAAAGCTCGGATGTAATATTTCTCCACCTGCAATAAATAACCAAAGAGTGCCATTTGCATGCAGTGCTACATGAAGGAGCTGGACCATCGGATGTCTATGCATCTCCTGGATGCCAATAATCACATCAACCAAACATATGGGGACAGGAACAGGGAAAGAAGAAGAGAAGGGGGTCAAAATCAAACAAGGGTGGTGTGTCTTCTCACAAAGAAATTCCACTAAAAACTATGAGCATGAAGGAAGAACTTAAAAAGTATAAATCTGTTTTAACTGGTTGATGTGATTACCAACTTGTCTCTCAGGGAATAACATTGTACCAAAATTGGAAACTTTCACATGGTATTCGGCAGAACAAATTGACAGTGAACATAGAAATTTTGAATTTTGTATCACACTGGCACGAAGGACAGAACACACTGATAACAGTAATGTGGTACAGAAATATACCACTAGTGTCATCAAGTCCTCATGCCAGTATGTATGTCCCTGGTCAGTGTGAGACGAGGATGTATAGACTGCTGGTCCCTGCTCCTCAACAACATCAAGTCTTACCAGGTTATTCTTAGTCTTAGCAACATTGGGGTCATCCTGGCCTAGCTTACTTTCATAGATTTCTAGAGCCCTTTGATAGTACTGCTCTACCTGTTAATAAAACATCATGCACAGTTAAAACAAGTGAATAGGAGGAGTTGTCCCTCTTGCTGAGATCTCATGTCCCATGTTGTTTGCACATGTGAAACATACAAAACAATATACCTAGACTTGATCACAATGTTTTTTAAAAATATGAATAAGTTAATAAGAGCACATTATTTCACTGAGCAGTCATTAACAAGTTATTGAAAACATTAATATTGATTCATTACGACAGATGTACTACTAAACAAACAAAACAATATTCCTCTATGACTGGATAATTAAATTGCCTCGTTCTTTTTACCTCTTCATATTTGCCTTGGTTTTGACACAGTAGAGCCAGATTATTAAGTTGTTTCGCTACATCAGGGTGATCTTTGCCCAGCACCTGAAACCAGTTAAATAAAATGTTAGCTCATGGAAATTGGATCAAATACTTCCACTGAGTGACATGTCGCCTTGCTCAGTGAATGAAACACTGTCATGATCTCTAAAGCGCACCTAGCTCAATAATACGATTAGTAAAAGTCTTTACCACATAGTCAGAAAAAAAAGACATATTTAAAAATTTATATTTAACTGCATTGATCTTAATACATCTGAAGGTCAGGAACATAAGAAAACCAACCACACCTCAATGAATCACACAAATCCTGAGATCTTAATAATGTTACAACATAATAAAAAGTAAATATTAACAAAATAATACACCCAGTCCTTTGTCATAAAAGCTGTCTGAGACAATCCATACAGTATGATGGCACACTCTCCAACAGGCCACACTTGTGGCCACACGATCCAGTTTGGTTGCTTCTTACGACAACCTATTCTGACCCTTATTCCCAATGGGGTGTGCTTCTATAACTGCACTCCTAATCCTACCTTTTCCCTTATCTCCAGTGCTCTCTTGCACAGGGGCTCCGCCTCCTTGTACTTGCCACGCTTCCCGTACAATACAGCCAGGTTGTTGAGGGTGGCTGCCACCTGAAGAGAGGAGAGGAAGGCACTAGTTACTCAGCCATCACCAACACCGTTGGCCATAGAACTCCAATAGGCTTTTGTATTACACCCTTTATAACGAGGCACTGACTTCATTATAAAGGAATTATCACAAAAATATAAAATAAATAAAATGAGCATAATCATAAAGGTTTCTGATGCAAAATCGTGTGTCTAGAATACTGATGGTACTGATGGGCAGCTAAGTTGAGATGAGAATACTGCAGTATTTTCCATTACCAGAACTAAAGCTCATGAGAAAACACTCCTTAGTTTGTACACATTTAGTTTCTGACATGTACTGTGCTGACCGAAGGCAGAAAAACCTTATTATGGCGGTTCCTTTTTATAGTCACTTTATGTGTGTGTCATAAAGCCCAAAGATGTTTCTTTAGTGGACTTGTCGCGTATTTGATTTAAAAGACGGAAAACATCCCCCCCAATCTTACAACTAAGAATGTACATGTTGCAAGCAAACTAAGTACTATCATACACCTCATTAACATCAGGGTCACATTCAGGTTTAGTGGTCATGATGCATACTGTACGTAGAGCGAAACAAACATTTCTAGTCTACATGACGACAACATAAGCATGTCACATGCAGGCCATACAGCAAGCACGATACACAACAGCTGTCTCAGCAGTTGGTCATGTTCAGCCTGTGTATTCAATGTCTGCATGAAGAAATGTGCAACAAACAAATCATTTCAAAGTCATGTGAAAGTTTGTCATACAGTTTAAGTGAAACAGAAAGTGTTACCTATGTGACATTTGTCATGCAGACATGCTGTCAGCTGATACCATAAAATGTAGAAACACCCAGTACTGGGCCCTGAGCCCTGACCCCGTTCCACAAAGCAATCGTAGCCCTACTACAGTCGTAAGTCTATGTTAAGTATGGGAGTTACGATCGCCTTAGCAATACGATCGCTTTGTGGAATGCGGGGGCCCTGGGAGTTACGACAATCTAAGTGCTGAGATCACCTCGTGGAACAAGACTCAAGGCTGATCCACTTTCAACAAACACATTCATGTACTACATGTGATATCTATCATGCAATAATAGGTTGGTTCTGCAGGTTAACTGACTGGACACCAATGAAATATGCATTATCCACATTACAAGGCAAAGCTGTATGACTCATCACCCTTCGACAATGTATTAGTAGTTTACCAATGATGATGAAGGAAATGATCCAAATAATATGGGGAATATAAAGGAGATATTGTTATTGAGAAATATTAAAGGTACAAAATCCCCAAACACCACAACCACCTGAGACACATCTGCAGATGTACAAGATGACAAGATCTGTACTTCATCAGTAGTATCAGCTGAAAGCCATGACATATCATAGTCAATCTTGGCATTTGGAAAAAATGGACTTCTGAATGACAGGTTTCCTCTTGTGTGATGCTCAATATTCAAAGACACAAAAAGTATGACACACAAGTGGTGATATATATGGCCAAATATGCAAAGCAGATTTTCAGATGTGAAAGTGTAAATTTGCAAATAAAAAGAGAAGAGTGGTGATGAAAATCGATAAAATCCAAGTGCCGGTTGTGTTTTGCACAGCAATGAAATAAACTTAAAGAAGGCCAGATCCACTGCAAACCAGGTGTCCACCAGTGATTTTATCGGCAGGAACAGATAAATCTGAGGGTGGATGAAACTGTGCAGTGCTACAAGCAGCACAGATGGACAACTAAATGGATCACATGCACTACACCAAACACCAATGATACACCAACCAACCAACCAGCCAGCCGACCCACAAGGTGGCCTGGTGGTGGAACAAAAACCAAGGCAGGTAGGCAGGCAGACAACAGCAACAACTCACGGCAGGGTGGTCAGGCCCCAGAGTCTTCTCCCGGATGCCTAATGCATCATTTAGTAGATTGGCAGCCTCCTTATACTTGCCCTGGTCTCTGGAAGTGATAGGCAGTACAAGTCAAACAACTAGTCTTGTGTGGACGCTAATGTCCATGGTTGTCCTTGTCAGGTGCAGCAGCATCTGTCACCGGGTCCAGGCAGCCATGACAATCTGTACTCCTTCTCAAGGTTCTTAATGGGGCATAAAGTCACATCATATATGGATGACAACTGCAGTATTTATCAACTGAATGATTTCAGTAATGGATCTTGGCATGAGTATCAATTCATCCCACGGGGGCATGTTGTCCCGATCAACAAAGCGTTCATAACGTTACGAGCTAAAGTAACAATATAGTTTATCATACGCTTACGAATATCTTAGTGCTATGAACGCTTAGTGAATCAGGCCCTGTTACACATTATAACCAACCAAGATTCACCTCTCACCACAACCATAGTGTGCTGAGGGCCTATTCAGTCGGAATCCAATTGGAGCACATCTACGTTAGAAAGCTGATTTAACATTCTAACACTGTAGTTCATAAATGCAGAAGTTGTCTTTCCCATATATAGTGTTCTTATTACATCCATATTGCTAACAACAACACTTGAAGGAGAAGCTTGATGTCATTGACTGCCTGTCCCCAGGTGTAAGCTGAAATGGAAGGGATGTATGAGTGTTACATAGGGCAGACACTCACTGCAGGATGACTCTTGCCCAGTGTTTTCTCCCTGATGACGAGTGCATCCAGCAACAAGTTGCCCGCCTCTTTGTACTTGCCCTGATCCCTGGAACACCAACATAATGGCATGCTGGGCACAATACAACACTTCCCTACACCCTGGTACCACCATCAGGAAGCATGCTGAACAGGGAAGCATCACGTCATTTCAACAGAAAACAGCAAAGATAGATCAATGTTTTTCTTTACATTTCTCATATACCTATACCATATACCAGACAAAGGAAAAATAATCAACATAACTTACTTTTATTAAATCTCAGCAAATGATGAAAATTTGGCACAATAACTTCTCTTTATAGTGTTAGCCAAAAAACCAAAATCAACCTCACATTTTGTCAGATGTCACCACAACTTAATGCAGGGTAATTTTCTTGTGTGTGACAATGTGGATAGCAATTAAAATCGCTTCCTCTGAGGTTATAAAAATATCTTGCGACTGTCTGTAATGTAATGAGCAGTAACATTTTGAAATATTACGTTAACTGTACTGCATTTCCTAGAATATTGTTCAATAGTATTTTTTTGTGAACATGGCTCCTTCCATCAACTCTCATAGCAGACCTTCCATACAGTGCACAGCAAGCTGACTGACCTGTATACTAGGGCGAGTATATTTAGCATTGTGGCAACATCTGGGTGATCATGCCCACTGGTCTTCTCCAGGTCCTCCAGGGCTTGTTTACACAGTGGTACTGCCACCTCGTAGCGACCCTGTGACGCATATTGAATGACTAGATTGTGGAGAGTGCGCAGACGGGCGGGGATCTCATAGCCACCACTTGCCGCCTGGGCCATTGCACTTGGTTGTGTTGGGGACAGAACTGGAACAAGAACACCATTCAGTCAGCTTCTTCTACTCATATTTCTGTCTAAATTATGCGTCTTGTGTGCTAAGAGTATTCGTAAGGTGTGTGTGTATATTCATAATTTTCTCTCTTTGAAGTACAATTCCAATGTGATACTATATCATAATTGTTCTGAAATGAGGAGCAGCTTGCACTTTAATTAGGTTTTACACTTTAATGTTTGAGACCATGTACTTTCCTCCACTGTAATATGATATATAAGCTTTAATAGTTTATGCACAAGTAATATATGCAGTATATTTGTATTTCTAGAGTGAATGTGTGAAGTATGTTATTTTCTGTAAAAAATCTAAAATGAACTGATAAGTTATGAAATATTCTTTACATGTCACAGGTCTACTACTTATAGACAATAAAAGAAGGAGACGCATATTTCCAATGTGACCAGTGAAGCCTTCTTACCTTCTGGTTGTGGTCCGTCATCATCATCATCTGGAAATCCGAGATCTAGTGGCTGTGAAGTGGGTTCAGGCTCTTTTTCTTCTGTCTGTAGACAACAAAATATCCTGTGTTAGCCTGGTTACACAGTGGGAGCTCTATATGTATTTTTTAGTAAAAACCTGAGTAACTACCCCTTCTGTCTTATGTTTAAGTCAAACCAGATATAAAATAGGAGTGAGTGAGTGAGTGAGTATGGTTTTACGCCGCTTTTAGCAATATTCCAGCAATATCATGGCGGGGGACACCAGAAATGGGCTTCACACATTGTACCCGTGTCGGGAATTGAACCCGGGTCTTCAGCATGATGAGCGAACGCTTTAACCACTAGGCTACCCGACCGCCCTATAAAATAGGACCTTCAAGACAGGTGTCCTGTACCTCAGAAACAATAGGCTATGAAGATGGTTGGTCGGGTTTACTACTTTTATGAAACCAACAAGCATAGCTATGGAGTTGACATCCAAGGATCATAATCAGAACAAGCTGGCATTTGAACCCCAGATCCACTAATCCTTGCAACAGCAAAGGGATGCAACTCATCACAGACATTTGTGGCACCACAAACCACCACATTGATCATACCGAGTCAGAAATCTGAATTATTAGCCATCTCATCAACTAGCCATGTCAATCAGTCACATGTTTGAAGTATGCTTTAGTAGGAATAGTAGATATTTGACTATTTATTATAATGATGTATGATTATGATTATTATGTGCATGTCAATCAAAAAGCCATTATTATGATGATGATGATGATGTGCATGTCAATTAAAAAGCTGTTTTGCTGGAGGCACTGACCATGCTGACTGATGTGTCATTAGAATCATATTTCTTCATTTCATTCATAAACTCCAGGTGTTTCTTCTCCTCTTCCAGTGTGGCTGACTTCTGCTCACTCAGTTGCAGCTTCTGCTGTGTGTTGGCCAGCTCGTCCCGCAGCCAGCCATTCTCCTGACATAAGCGCCTCACCTGCGCTCGTAACTTCTGTTTCTCGGCTTCCACATGTTGTAGATGATTCGCTAATGCCATCATTACCTGCCCAACCAAACACATGCTGTAACATTTCATTGGATTCACCTAACAAACAATCCGGGAAAGTGATGGTAATGTCTGTCTACTATGATGGTGAACACTTTTTACAATGTAAAACAATTAGTTTCTATTTGTATACAAGATTAAAAACATCAATTAACAAAAACATATATACCAAATTTGATGAATGTTAAAAAGAGCAATTGCAGTTTGTGCCAAACATATTACACATATAATGAAAAGCATGACAACCATTGGCTGTGAACATCAATGAGCATTTCATGGACTAGAAACAAAAAAAATTCCAAGTAACTTTCTTTTCTATGTAAATGTCAGTTCATATGTTATTAGGTAGCAAAATGCAATTTTTTAATGGCATTTTTGCTGCTAGCAACAACTAATTACAATTCCTCATCAATCACCACTATTGAGAACACAAGTATCAACTTTACACACAGACATATAGTTGGCAGTACCTGAGCCTCTCCTAGTCCCAGCTCGATGGATTCTAGGGACTTCTTGAGAATATTTGCTTTTTCTTCCACGAGGTTTGTGTCTCCATTCTCCCTCTTGATTGTTTTCATGGAAGTGAGGAGAGAGTTGAGTATCTGGTGGTGCTCATTCTTCAGCGTGTCCAGGCCCTGGATCACCGTTTTGGTGTTGTTGATGATCTCGTCCTGGGTCAACGCCGTCATCTTGCCGATCTCCTCTATCTTCTTTCTGCAATACAAAACAGATCCTCATTTACTTTCATATTTCAAAATATGAAGCCTCATAGCATAAGGAATGTACAGGAAGCAGGTAGTCAGTAGTCCGCTCCAGTTCCAGCAACATGGGGTTCTGACTGATCAACCAGGGTTCCTGATGTTGATAAGGAAACAAAACAATCAGATGAAAGGGCTGTTTCCCGAAATGGATATGACATTTAAAACAAATAATCAGTGACCACTTAATTTCCACTTGGATCAATTATTATACATTTGAAATTATAGTGAATTTAGTGAATTTAACAGCTAAATGGGGAAATTACACCGACTTTAATACCCCTTTCAAACAGGTTTGTTCATGAACAACAACAACACCATCTATCTTGTGATAAACATTGATCTTGCAGTCAATGATATTACCATGGATTAAAATAATGTCAAGGATAACAGGATATTGAAACTGATGGAAGTAGGCATATGAAACTGTAATGTCAATAACATCTAGAGACACATATGTAACATGTTTGTCCTACTACAACGTCTCCTCTGTAGATGGGATTTAGCCCAGTCTCCAGGTTTAGCCTTTGTACAAAGCCTTAATCCAACAACAATTATTTTGGTCTGGTACTCTAAGACAGCCTATATGTTGAAAGTAAAAAACCAAAAAAAACACCATGCTGAATGGGAAGTTTTAGCTGACAGACTGAAATGATTTTGGTAGCAAAGCTTCAGTTGTTATATTTCATCCTAACGTATCATTGAACATGTTATTCAGCCCAAAGCAAATCTGAGCAGCAACGTATCCTCATTACATTACAGATTACTACCCTTATTTTCCTGCTGGGTGTAACTTGTATAATCTGATAGCAAACACTTAAAAAGCTTTTCGTCTAAACTACAACTTGAGTTCAGATAAAGTTTTCCTTGTCATGCAGAATTCAAAATGGTGGTTAGGGAAACTGTTGTAACAGTCCTTCACTCACTGAAGGAAAGTACTGCACAATTGGCTACTACAACAGAAAGTCATCCCGAATGTGTCAAAAAAGTTAACATCCAGCAAGTAAATATCAAGGTTGTGTCAGAGGAGACACAATTTATTTAAACTTTGATCATTTACACTATATAGTCATTCAGTTTGCGATAAATAACTTACAAAACCTTGGTAAAACCTCCAGCATAAGTTAACATTTATATCACGAAAAAGACACATACCAATACACATACCAATACACATATCACAAGACATTCTTTGACTCTTTGAACAATGATGATCTCCAGGGCACTTCAATACACCATTGAGAGCTTATTTGGAAGAAACAGGGGGTCACGAAGCCCCAAGATTTGGGAGACAAGGGCAAACCCAGCTTTAATATTTCTATCAAAAAACGAGATGTGTACCACAGCACATCACACTTACTATTTTACTGCTATGAACACACTGGGAATAAAACACGTAAAATATCAGGAAAAAGATTGAAACATTGACTTCTAAAACCAGGGTTGTATTCCACAAAGTGATCTTACAATCATATAGAACGTTACACATGTTAGGCCTCCATTAGTGAAAAACAGTCTTGTGGAAATTAGCCCAGATCAAATATTTAACACACATATTTAGTATATCCTACATGATGTCACAAAATGTCAGCCCTGCAGCATTACAACACAGTATGTTCCTCAGGACATGTCAACGCATCATTTCCAACAGAAGTAGATACACACACAGCAACATTTCCTTCACACTGATCAACAGCGAGTGAGTAACATAGATCTAGACAAACACACATTTTGTAAGGTAATCCACAATCTAGAAACACCTCTTGGCCAATGAATGAAAGTGTGTCAACACAACATTGCAACTATGTGGTTGTACATGGGAAAATATAAACACAATCAAGTTTAATTTGTTTCCTCAAATATTGCTCTACAATGCTTATTGAAGCTGTTCAGTGACAACTTGCTGTTTATGTTCACAATAGAAGCAAGAGGATAGGTGTCATTTCAGTTAAGCCTGTCATGACAAGCTTGACAAATTGTACTCTTCCCGATGTCATTAATGTTATTAATACCCTAAAAGAAACAAAAAAAGACACAACCATTTATATTTGGAGAACATCTAAAGACAATATAATCCCCAAGCACACAGACTGACTTATTAAACCTGTTGACAATGACCATGTTACAACAAGATCTTAAGTGTTTATGAGCTCTTCAGTGAGTAAGGAGGTCAGAAGGGCTGTTAAACCTAAATAACATCAGCCCAGAGTATCTGCTTTGTGATGTTTATTGTTGGGAAATATCATAACACCATCAATAAACAAATACGTTTGACTGATGAGATAGCTAGGTTTCACCCAGTAGTCCATAGTATCCCTGCTGACTTGTATACAACATCAACCTGTCAAGTGCAATTGTCTTGAGCAGACAAACCAGCTATTGATAGTGTGAGCATTGCTGCGCCTCACTGGTGAAGATAACACATAAAACCAGCCAGGGGAAAGTCTCCAGCTACTCATCCTTTGAAATGAATGAGTGAGTAAATGGGGGCTCATCCTCTTACAACAATGTGAGGTGTGAGGTTAATGCTATACTTTTTAACCAGTAAAACATCAGTGTACAAAGTGTCAAGCTTGTCATGACAAGCTTAGTAGCAATGACACCTATCCTCTTGCTTGTCCGGATCACTAAGCATTCTAATTGTCAGTGTATGCTTGTGGAAACTTGTTTGACGGCGTGTCATAATATTCAAATTGTGTGAACTGATGCTCATGATGTCAATCACCAGATTGTTTGGTCCACACTTTACAGCCTGCCATGGTATAGCTGTAATACTGCTGAGAGCGGCGTTAAACAACAAACAAAACATACTCAGCAGCTGTCATGGTCATCTGATCCCAATACAAATCACCATTATAACAAGCATGATGTAACAGAGACTTCTTTAGGACTGACATGGTCATTCTGGACAATGCCTGGACTCTATGCACCAGGTTACAGCTGGATTTCGTCTGGTGTCGATCCAGAATCACTCCCTAATATTCAGAATGGTCCCAGTGGACCGAGAGTTGCTCCCCTTCCTCCCTAGGTGTGTGGTCAGTGAAGGAGAATGTCTGTAAAGGCCAGATTGCGTGTCTGCAGGGACTGGAAGGGAATCAGGATCAATAACTACTCCTGCTGATGGCCAACTGAGTACACAAGCATACAGACCAGGGGGAGGGATGGCCAGTGTAGATGCAGACAAACACTCTCGATACTCGCAAGACATGGTGGTAGCCACACACTCCAGTCTGCTGTTACCATATAGTAAAAAGCAAGTCTGGAAAATTACCTGTTGTGTTGAAGCATATTAATGGTATCAACAAAGACTGTCTTAAAAAAACTTTTTTTCTAAAAATTCAGAATGCTAATTGAGTCTTGTCTGAACGTGTCTTAAGGGGTCTGTTTTATCTGCAAGAGTAAGTTTAAATGTGATGACATGAAGGAGGAAGAAAAATACAAGAAATATTTGGAATTGTGTTTGATCAGTACGTCAGTCATATCATGGCATACCAACATAGTGTGGGAGGTAAGACTAAAGTGATGCAGGCCTCTGATGTTTACCACTTCGGTGAAACCAACAAGAACTGTGCTGACAGTGACCAACTAAGAATCATAATAAGGCCAAATCTGGGATTCAAACCAACAATCTAAGATTCTGCCAGGCTCAAGTATGCACCTCTGCACAGCAATTGCGCCCTCCTGTTTCACGTAAAATAAAGCTGGGTAGTTAGGGAAAACCTGCCAGAAACATCTCCCATTTTTCTTTGCTAATTGTCATACTATGCATAGCTCAAGAAGTAATGCTCATCTTTATCCTCATTGCAATACAAGGATGGAATATGATACAATCCATCATCCACACCACGTGTTGAACAGCCTGACAGACAGGAAGCCCAGTGAGCCAGTGAGGTATTCTTGTGTAATGTTTACCACTGCTGCAGTGATCATCTCCACCATGCAGCAGTGCCAACATAGATTGACACCTCACAAGACAGTCGCATGTTTGCTTCTGTGCGATTACCTACATCACTCACAAATATCAAACTGCCTGAAATCAATACTGCATCGACGGTATAAGCAGATCTGCATATGTCTAGTAAAGCCGCAAGTAACAGTCTATATCTGATTGTCTTTTTCATATTTGACCCACATGAAACAACATTTTAAATTTTAACTCACATTAGCATGATTAGGAAACAAAATTAGCAAAATAATAAAATGTTTTAACCTTAAAAAAACTCGGGGCAACTTGGTAATCATACTGTCCCTAACTTACATACCTTATTTACCTAATTGTTGACAGTGATTATTGATCATTTGCTGCCATTATACTTTGCTGGCTGAGAAAAAGGGCAATATTACTGCATAACAGGCTAAAAAAAGATACAGAATTCAAAACTGTCTTCAATGAACCAGATGCTTACTAAAAGAATGTGTATTACATTATTTGATTATTTGAATAATGAGGAACAATATACACAATATCACATGAAAGATGAGTTAGCAAAGCAATAGCATTAAAATAGCCAAGTTATGTACACAAATCATATAGAAATACCTTTCAAAAATGTGTGAAAAGGAGAACTTCATGCTGTATTTTCATATCACTGATTGCTATGCTTAAACCAGTCACCTCTCAAATGTCTTTCATACACTATAAACACAAATCATCTCGTGAAGACTGCCTAGCTTGCACCACAGCTGAGCCATGACACAGAACTGAACTGAACTGCATGAAGTCGCAGTCCAGCAGGCCCAGGCTCATGTATAATGTCACTGAGCAGGAAGCTGGTACATTATGTAGATGGTTATTCTACAGTGTCTGAGCAGGTGTGAACTCTAGCTGGCAAAAGACTGCTGTAAATTACTGTGTTGATTAACATGAGAAGGAGCCCATGTGGCTGAACTCAGATCCAACACTTACACAGCAGTTCAGCTGACATAATGAGAACACAATCAAATTGTTGCTAATTA